CACACACACACACACACACACACACACACACACACACACACACACACCTCGGCTGTGCTCCTGACCACAACGAGGCCATAAAAGAGGGAAGATAGAGATCGAGTGAGCAGAGGAACAGAGACGAGGGAGCTGGAAAGGTTTCTGCTCCAATGAGGTCACCATGTGAGGGATTAAAGAGAACCGATCAGATTATACACAGACAGGCGAATGTGACGGATTCAGAGATGCGAGAAATACAAAATTAAAAAAAGGAAGAAAAGCTACTGAGAGGAGTCGTGAAATACAGAGACCGACTGGGAAGAAAATGGAGGAATCTGGGAAAAGTCTCACCCAGTATTTCACTGTGTACGCAGGAACTCACAAACATGAGAACATTACCTAATATGGAGAGGCAGACTGACTGAGGAGCAGACAGGGAGGGAGTCAGCTACGTAGCGCAGTGAGTAAATTCAACAAGCAGCTGTTCAATACAGAGCTGAGAGAGTGCAAAGAGGAGGAGTTACCTTTCCAGGTTCGGACCAGCTCGTCTGGATAATTCGGAATGGGCGCTTCCTCCTTTATCACTGAACTCTGATAGGACACGAGAAACGGCACCGACTCCCACACCTGAGAGGGAGGAGGGAGGAAAGTTAGGGCCCTGGTGGTGACTTATGGTAGGAAATAGCTCATGGTTGCAGCCCTGTGTGTGTGTGTGTGTGTGTGTGTGTGTGTGTGTGTGTGTGTGTGTACCTTGGCAGCGTTGACGAGTCTCCACGCATTGAGCACACCGAAGCCGTGCTGGTGGCTGTGGTGGAAACCGGCTCCGTTCACCCTCCAGTCTGCACTGCTGTCACACTGATGGGACAAATAAAAACAGTGTTAGCTTTGGTACAGAGGCAGCCCAACACGTTTTCATTTTATCAGTAATACTCACTCACTACCGTCTCTCTCTACGGCTTAGGAAAGGTACAAAACCACTACCTTAAGTTAGCTTTCTATCATTGTCATTGTAAATTGCATGTATTTAGGTTTTGGACTGTTTGTTGGGGGAAAACAAACTAATTCAATACATTTGAAGATATTACCTAATCCACTGGGAAATTGTGACTTACAATATTTGTATTTCAATTTGAAACATAGTTTATCAACATATCAGGAATAGGGATGTTAATAATTAACCAGATAAAAATAAATAGTTTTAAAAAAAGCCTGAGCCGGAGTTGCCTAAAAATGATCATCCCTCTTCAGGAAAACTAAACAGCAGATGTATCATAAAGATAAATGTTAGATTTGTATCAGATTAAAGGTACCCTGTACATTGACCCCATTGGCCTACCTCGGTGGCAGTGAAGGTGATGATGTGCTGCACGTCCCTCCAGCTGAGACAGGGACGCACCTGCAGCATGAGGGCCACCATTCCTGCCGCCAGCGGGGCCGCGGCGGACGTGCCGGTGTGGCCCTCGGTGCAGCCGGTCCCCCTCTGCATGGACCAGTCCGACGTCACCTGCGGAGACAGACGAGATGGGCTGACCCGAGACACGTGCACGAGTGGAAGGGTGGTAACAGCTCTGGCAGGAGGCCAAACACAAACTGGCACTGACATATGGGAGTAAACACGGGGACGGATGAGTGAACGCAAACGTTTCACAGAGTGTATCCAACAGTAACTATGTTCTGCACCTAAACAACTAGCGAAGAACACTTCATCAAGTGCCAGCATCACAGAGCGACATATTTACTGCAGGAGGCCGGTGTCTGCGTCTCCAGCTAACGGAAAACATGAGGACTGTATGACAACAGTTTAAAGCCCTGAGGAGGTCCAGCTTTGTAAAGGCATGAGGATGTAAAAATAACACAATGCATGAATTAAAATAAAGAGTGGTAAAGTGAAAATGTAAATACGCAGAGAATGGACATGTAGGGGAGTTTGAAATCCTGATAGTGGTCGACCTAAACAAAGGATTTATGGAGAGGATTAACTTTACGAGCAAGTAAGGGGAAAAAAGGACTAACATTATATCTTTGAACATGTTTGTCTGCGTGTGTGAGATCAAAATCCACCCATTTATAAGGCGCACAAGTGCGATCATGTCGTCCATGCACACCACCCGCTGCTACCCGCATTAGTGACAGCCGGTCTGACAGCAGGATCACAGCGATGTGAGCTGAGGAGGAATTCCCCGCGCTCTGCGTTTACATGCAGAAGACATGTGTGCCCCCCCCATGTGGATGCGTGTTCATCCAGAGCAGCTGTCCATGTGGTGAGAGTGTACAAGCATCATCAGGAGACAACCTCTGCACCTCTACATGCAGAGACATTTGTGTTTAGAACATCCACATGTCGCATTGTAATCCATTAGAAACACTGAATCTCTTCAGGTAAATAAAGATCGAGTAAATCTAGAATGTATACAACCCTGTGTCGTGTTTTGGTTAGCCACAGCTATTCCATCGGGCTTGCGTAATCAAGGATCAGATGAATCAGCTGGAGTTTCCCCATTTCCAGGCTTTCCAGACTCAGAGCACTGTGATCAAATGCGTGAGTGAAGACAGCTGTTCCTCAGAACAGTGGGCAGTGTTTGGTACACACTTGGCCTGCGAGTATACTGTGGTCAGCGGTGGATCAGCTAAGCTCTGATCCACCGCTAAGCTCTGATTCCAGCCCAGGTGATGACATCCGCCCAAACTGCAAATAGAACAGCGTCAAATAGAGGTCGGTGGCCTCGTTGGGCCCCGACTCCCGTCATCATCCGTCATCGTTTCAGATGAAAACAGTCTCTGCTCCTCCTGATGTGGAGCTGCTCTTTCACAATCACTGATTTCCTAGTTTTTAGACCACACTGAATTTTAGATAAACTATCTCACACGTCATGTTATGGAATATGGTATCTACAGACTTCAAGGTTTCAGCACTTGAATCCTTTAGGATTTTAATAAACCAACACTAATGTTTGTTACAGCTAAAATACATAACTATCAAATAAACATTGGATCGTCTTTCAAAAACATAACCGTCCGGCTTTGATACAACTCTCTACATGGACTGAAACGAGGAAATCTACTTCCTGAGACTGACAGCAAGTCCTGCAGCTCTTTACTGGACATTTATATGTTTATTTATCTGCTCAAGTGTCACGAGCAGCTCGCACAGATATAAATGGTTATGAGCATTTTTAGTTATGACTGTGACTGGGCCTCATATGTCATGAATAAAGATGGACAGGTAGGGGAAAAAAAGGCAAAAAAAGAGATGACTTGTAACTTTTTTCCAACTTGGAGTCGCTTGTTATTGACTTCCTGTTGTTCCCTTTGCCGCTTGTCATCCATTCTCTGGTCTAGTCATCGTGTGTGTGGGTGTGTGTGTGTGTGTGTGTGTGTGTGTGTGTGTCTGTGTGTCTGTGTGTAAGACCTACAATGCTCCTCAGCTGGCTTCCCCCGCTGCTGAAAGTGACAGCCAGCATGGACGCACACTCTTCAGCGTAGAAGGGCATCCTGCCTTGCTCATCGACCGCTCCTGCAACACACACACACACACAAGATTATGTATGACCCGAGGCACACACGTCCACACCCCAAACACAAGCGAGCACTCACAGGCCTGAGAGCCTCTGTGTCTTACCGATTGTGATGGTGTAGATGGAGTTGGCGTAGCCGTCGTAGTTGCAGTCGTCATTGTGTTGACCTCCATTGCCACTGGCGACCACAAAGATGCTACCGAAGCCTTGTCTGCCTGCAATCACCCCATGCTGCAGCGCTGCCTGTGGAGGGAGGAAATCATGCCATTACAAAAAGAGGGAATATTATACTTTTTGTGCTTACAGTTTCTCTACATGCGGTCTCCTCTGTAACTGAAGTGCTGCAGTGTACCGCCCTCTGCAGGACAAAGTCACAGCTCCACACAAACTGTCTTCCTCTTACCTTGCCCAGGGGATGGGGTCCATCCACAGTGTGTCCGTCATCATCGGGACCCCAACTAGAGGAGACAAGAGTCTCAATCAGAATCCAAGCAAGACTTTGTACAACAACGTGATACATTCTGGCATGAAAACATAATCGCATAGTCAAATATTGACCCTTAAAGGCATGGCAGGATAACCACAGCTCCACCGGGCCTTTGTCTTAAATAAAAGGTGCTGGAAGTATCAAAAAGCTCAAACTGATAGAATAGATATCTTCACACTTAGATCTATGCAGAGGACACTTTATAGTATAAAGTGTTCTCTGCATAGATCTATGTGTGCAGACACTTAAAGGCATTAAAAGCTGGTAAGTCAACAAAGGTTGTCAAAGGTAAATACCTTACAGGACCAGAGAGTATCGGTTTGGTACCTGCAGCTGTAGATGTCGTTGACCTGGTAGTGCTTGTTGAAGGCTATGGCCTCCAGGCTGTCTGTCAGTAGGCCGTCCAGCACTCTGATGCCTGAACAAAACAAAGAGAGAGAGAGATGTGTGACAACACACATCTATCCAAAGTCTCAGCTCCGGTCTCAGTGGTTCCGAGTCCTGGGACACTCGTGTTTAAAATTCCAGTTTGTCTGTACCTGCCACCTTGCTGCCGTAGGCCACCCCCACAGCACAGAAGCTGTTGTTGGGAGCGGCCGCGATCTCTCCGGCACACCGCGTCCCGTGGTGGTTGTCGCTGTGGACGTCTGGGTGAGGCATGGGGTCCGGGTCGTTGGAGTTCAGGTCGTAACTGCCCTCTGGACTCTGAGAGGGTTGAAAACATTATGAATGGAAAAGGAATTGCTGGCAAGCTTCCAAACAGCTTTATTGGTCTCAAAATGTTCAGCAATGACAGCGGGACACACGGTTAATAGCTACTTAACATGACAAACTTACAATCCATTGATCATAGAATGACTCACATAGTTGGGCTGGATGTCCTTGTGGGTGTGCTCCACCCCGTCGTCTACCACCACCACCGTGACTCCTCGGCCAGTGATGTTGCGCTCCCACACTCCTGTTACATTGATGTCCATTCCCTTATTGAGGTGATTGTGCTGCAAGAACAAGAAGAGTGAGGGAAGAGTGAGGTGAGGTAAAGGAGAGAAAGCCTTCTCCCGCCTCTTCTTTGCAGTGTCTAAGCATCACTACGGAGTATTTTTATTACCTTGAAATGCACTTTGGTTGTCTGATGTTTTGTACCCAGACAGACAATAATTCTCAATGACAACAGGAAAAAAAACTGGCTCCTGATTGGCTGCCTGACAGAATAGTTCTACATAAAGTGCTATTGTTGAAACAAACACATTAAAAGATCAATAAAGAATATGGGATGCAGATTATTTGACAGGTAAATTCTTCATTTATTATTAATTCTTCACAGTCACCAAGTTAATTTTAGGCACTAATTTAAAGTAAGCCTGACTTACTAGACAACTAGCAATTGAGCAAGATGAAAACAAAGACACACAATAGTCCAGATTCTCACCAGGTGCCACTGTTTGGGGTAATTGGGATCGTTGAAGGCCATGGACCTCTTGGAGCGGCTCAGAACTCTCTCCTGGGAGTGCCACAGGACATGAGGGTGGGCGGCCAGGACGTCTCCAGGCCGGGCACTCTTGCTCCAAATACCAAACACAGATCCAGGCGTGACAGAGCACAGCAAGTAGTGACCTTCTAGCTGTCCGATCTGGCCGTGGTTCTTCAGCCCGGCCTGCTCCGCTACCTGGGATGGAGAGAATACTGATGAGAAATTAAACTGGAACAATACTTGTGTTTTTTCCCCTTGACCAAAGCAACATGACAACAGATTAGACTGTAGCCTTGCTGAAATTTGTTGTATTTGAAGATGTCAGATCAGAGAAATTAAGCCCTGAGTTCCTAAATAAAGATCTAAATGTAGCAGCTGAGTGTTCATGAAGCATTTACCCTGTTGGCTATCGCATCCAGGTGCACGGAGCTCTGTTCGCCATCGTCCCCCTCACGATGTGAGCCCGAGTGGAGCCGGACGGCCCAGGACTGACCCAGTCCGCAGGAGAGTGACGACCAGGGTGAGGGAGGAGAGGAGGCGGAGAAGGGATTGGATGTGGCAACGGGGGGCAGCAGGGTCAGAAGCAAGAGGGCACAGGAGGACAGGAAGAGAAGGAGCAGGAACGTGGGGAAATACGGCGCTGGCATGGCAGCGGAGGGTGAGACACGGGGTCGACCAGGCGAGCCCTCCTCATCTGAACAGCAACCTGGAGACGGAGACAGACAGACGGGGAGAAAAGAAGTTAGTTGTGAGGGCAATGAGAACCAGCGGCTGGTTGCTCACCGCCTGTGTGCTGCATTTAGAGGCCACTTATTAGATTCACAGCGTCGCACTAACTGGACACCAGTTCATAGCGCTGTGGCAGCAGCACATCAGATTAACACTCCGCGGTTACATCAGCGTTCCTGCATGGACTTCTGTGAAGAGGCTCTAACAGATGAATGCTATTTTATGAGCACCGTCAGGCTAATGAATTAAATAATCAAACGCAAACAGATACCTCTGAGTTCAAGTGAGGCGTCTTCTAATTTGCAACCCACCATATCCTGGTTTTGACATGTAAAGGTGGAGAATGTATACATGCACATGAAGTAAGGAACAAAACGTGCAGCTGGATTAACCTGTTAGGTGTGTGTGTGTGTGTAGTCGGTCACTCCCAAGCAGTGTGTGAATGGTTATGAATGTTAGACAGTTAGATAGGCCAGCTGTGATCCCGCCTGGATTAGATATTAAATAGTGGCAGTGACACGAACCTAACTCTGACATTGATTGTTATGGACACTAAATGAAAAGGGGAAATAATAAAGATTATAATGAAGTCATGTAGCTAGATGTCACAACTACCTCAATCACAGTCAGGAGCTACAGTAAGATTAAAACATAGACATGTGACCTCGAGAAACAAAATAAAGTAATAGAAGAAAAGAACCCAACGCCCAATTTATCTAAACGTCCTGGAGCAAAACACCAAACCCCTGTCAGCTGATGTGTAGCCAAATATTTGTCTGTAACCACGTTATAAACGACATATAACAAACACGTGACATCAGCTGGTGTTATCAGCAGATCCCCTTCACACGACGTTAACATCGACAACAGTGGCTCAGAGTTTAAGAAGATTCAGCTGCTTATATTTAGCGTCCTTTAGTGTGACACGTGGTTAAAACAGAAATAAATAATATTATATTCATGTGGGTGAAACCACCTGATGTGCGCTAACATGCTAGCTCCCTGTCAGGCTAAGCTATCACTCAGTTTTGCTGATTGTTCATTTAGTTTTGTTATGAATCCCAGCAGGTCAGCTAAAGCTAGCTAGTTTGGGCAGCTAGCTGAGGGTTAGCCGTTTAATTAATTGACTTGCGACTCGTGACACTCAAACGTTACAGCTACGGCAACTCACCGCGATCATACCATTTTAAATATATATAAATTACATATCGTACCTTTCCACCGAGCTCGTGTTGCATCTGTTCCTTGTTGTGGAATTTATGAATAACAGTGAGCTTGTCATCTCATTTCCGGGTTACAAACCCACAACGTATCACGTCATACAGTTTGTTGCGCATGCGTCGTCCCCACCTGATTGGTCCAGAGTCATAGCGGCATTACAGGTGCTGTGGTCTCAACACAATCAGCGGATTAAAGCTTGTTTCTTTGTGTGTGTGTGTGAGTGTGTGTGTGCATTTATTGAAAACAGCTCCACAATGGCTTAAATGTTACTAGGAATTAAATTTGAATTAGCTTTTTCTAAATTATTTACCAACATGTTTTTTTTTTTTAAATTACTTTCTGAAGTTCTAACATTCAACTATATTGACCGTCAATCTATAAGTTAGTTTTCACGGTGAGTGTTTTGTGTGAAGAAATGAAAATGACAGCACGTTACAGTTACAATAAGTACTTTATTGATTCCACAGTGCTGCCAGATAAATATACAGTTCTGAGTTGATGTATTTACAGCTTGCTGAAAGACAATACAAACTGTCCATTGCAGACATATATATATATATATATATAGTGTTCTTAAGTGTATAACATACTTTGGGCTGGTTTACATATGTGGTCCCCCACTGACGGATGTGGCGAGTTAGGCTGTTTCTGTGAAAGAAGCCCTATTAAGTCCTGGTTAGTTAACATGTAATGTGTTGTTACATGGTGCAGCAGCAGGATAAACTCTGTGCAATCTGTGTGTGTGTGTGTGTGTGCAATTAGAAGATCTGGTACGCACACATTGTATTTACAATAAATACCTTTAAGCTATCAATATAGGAAGAGAAAATGACATCTGATAGTGACTGCGTTTCAGTTTCACACAAAGCAAAACTGATGTTATGCAATAAATGCTGTTACAATCTGATATTTCATCAAATTAACCTCTTTATGCTTAATTTGTGTTGCAGAATTCTTTGCTGGCATTTGCAAAATAGTGTCATTTTATAGATGCTATTCATACTCAGTAGTATCGTTTTTAATTCATCTTCATTTCCATGAAATCTTCCAGTATACTCTTCATTTAACAGTACAGTTGTTCACACACATACAGGCATGCTCACACATATCAACCCTGTTTTCATTCCCTCATAAAGCCTCAAACAGCAGATCTGTTAACACCCACACGTACGAATCATACCAACGCAAACCACGTCCGACTGCGTGATGGATTCACATCCAGGGTGTGAGATTCTTTTACAATTAGCCATGTTTGTAAATCTTTTTTTTTTTCCTCTTTACTTTCCCCCAAATCGCTCAGTGTCGAGCTCTGCAATGTCAAGAGACAGAGCTTTTAAAATCCCAAATCCATCTCTAGTCGTCTATTTACACGTCACTTTGGAACAAAGAGTTTTTGTTTTGCATCTCTCCTCCTCTCGCCGTGCTGATCTGCATAGGTAGCTTAAACCGGATAAGTCGGCGCCGACTTCCTCCTGTCGATCCTTCAGGTTCGTAATGGCTCTAGTTATCCTCGAATGCTCTGTTCGCCGTGTCAGAATTTGCTATACTTTTCATATTGTATTCCTGAAGAACCCTTTCAAAGCTCTCTTTCAACACCAGCAATTTGTAACGATGTACATTTCTCTTTTTTTTTTTTACCACATGTCCATCCCTGCCCTGTGTTTTCAAGCGTAGGTCTCCACGAATCCTTTCCCTTCACTTAAGGAGCGATATGTCGTCGGCGAAGTCCCCGTGCGGGTGGAGGCAGCGGGCGAAGCGCCACTGGCACACCATGAGACACAGCGGCAGCATGAAGAGGGCGCAGATCCCCGCCATGATGTAGGCGATGGTCATGAGGGTGGACTCGTCCGTCTGAGGGATGTTGTAGCCGCAGTCCTCCAGGTCGACGCCGTGGAATGGGCCTTCCACGGAGGCCGTGCGAAACTCATCGTGCACTGCGAAGGGGAGAATAGGATTGTGGGTATTTAAGAGACACACAAATCATAATAGTAGTCCCCTCAATCCCACTACTTCTTTCTATGAGCGGCCATGTTTCTTCCTCCCTCACCATGGCAGGTGCTGACGGCGAAGCCGATGCGCTTCTTCTCTCGGTCGAAGACCACGTAGAAGCCCTCCATGATGACAGCGCCCATCACGGTACCGGTGCTGGACTGGGACACGGCGAACTTGTAGCAGTCTTCCTGGGCCGAGGCCACGTCCTCTACTGGCCGCAGGTATTGCTGCATAGACAAAAGCGTGCATTTTTTTAAAACACTTTCAGTGTTATATTTCCTTTTTTTACTACATCTCCGGAACATTTTCCTGTGATTAGATACGTTGTGATAGTTTATTTCATTTTACTAACCATACTATATTTCCTTACAAAAAATGGTGATATTTTTATAATGTTAGTATCCATTAGGCTCTCTTCCTTCCCTTCTTTTCACTCTGGACTTTTTCCCGGTAAGTCACTTAGAGCACCCTGTGAATCATTTGTTTCACTATAGTTTCAGGGTGATTGTGCCGATGACATGTCTGCTGCTTTGCAATAAAATGCTGAAAAAGACAATCACAGGAGGTGTGGTCCTTGTCCTCTACGCCCCACAAAAGAGTTATTAGACTCGCTAGAGAAGCCGAATGGCCCCTGTACCTCACACTCCTGCATGTTAGTCAAGGCCCCTTAGGAAGGCTGGTAGTGTGAAGTATTATTATCACAGATATATATATATTCTAGCTGCATATGCTGTATTTTGTAATTTGAGCACTGACTTTTGCATCTGAAAGCAGCCCCGCTCAGCACATGTCTTAGTCACTTACGATGAAGCTCTCAGTGATTTCAGTATCAGCAGTAATTGATCTTTAAGTCTTTAGTATATATGTACTCAGTGTGCATTCTATACCTGGTGATTTACTCTTGTACCTGCTGTGGAAGTTACAACAGAAGGCAACGCAAGTACAAACTTCTCTCGAGTGTTTCATTCTGCTGTCGGCATCGATCGCTCTCAAGGTCACCATCAAGGCCTTTGTGGGAGGCTTTGAATGAAAACCGTTTAATGACTTCTCAGGGCTTTAAGAAAAAAGCTTCAGAAAATATATTCAAAAGTAATTCTCTCTGAAATGTGGTCATTATGTGTGTTTTTTTTCATCCCCCTCATGGTACCTCGCCAGGCTTTAATCTAATTCACAGCAAATATCCAAACGTCTTACAGGCTGAGAGGGTAAATCAAACATCTCCTGCCACAGGATTCAAACCGGTCAACAAAATTAGATTTCTTTTTCCCGTCAGGAACCAAGTAACGGTGGTCGACGCAAAAACAGAAATACGCAAATGGCCCTATCTAAGGCCAGCGTTTGGTTTGTCCTTTCTGGGCTACTGTAGAAAGGTGGCTCCGTAAAGAGGAACCCGCTCTGTATGTAGATATAAGTGGCAAAAACATGATTCTTATTTTCATGTGGTTATACACTGATGAAAACATACTTAATAATATTCCATTTCTGCCAATAAGATCCCCCTAAATGCTACACACTGTACCATTAAGTCATATTACTTCATATACTCAATGGTCCCACGGGACAAATGCTATCACGGTTGGTTGCTTCATGCCACCTCATACCTGTGGTAGGATGGAGATCCTGAAGGACTGGTTGTGGTTTTCACTCATCAGGTAGAGAGAGATGGCTGGGAAGATGTGCCAGGGTGTCGTGCCGGCCTGCCAACACACCAGCTGCTCCCCGAGCCAGAACCCAGAGGGGAACTGTTCGGTCTGAAAGAACAGGGTCGGGGGGGAGGACAATCAGAGCTTTTACAGACGTGACTGTCACAAACAGTTCTCTCATGAAAAGCACTATAAACTGAGGATTTTTACAATGGCTGCCCATTCGTTTTTAGATGCTTTAGAAACAGGAGGTCTTAAAAATCTCTATTTGAGTAAATATTTTGCAGCCAAATCAAATTGTTTACGGGCCATTCAACCTTCGTGTCTTTATAATGCATTCAATCCTAGACGTCGCTCTTCACAGGGCTTGTATAAAGGAAAATAAAGCAGGCCATGAATATGAGGCATGAGTTGATAACAATCCCTCCTCTGCATTGAGGAGGTCGGTTTAATGGTCACGGTTACTCGTTATTCTTCACACCCTCTGGCGTTTCGGAGAATACTGCAACTGTAATGCCTTTGTGCTGTACGTGAGTATAAACAAAGCTTCGTGCAGATCATAACAAGGATGTAAGGGACTGACCGAAGAGGCTGCCTCAATGGCTTTGACTGCAGCCTGGAAGACTTTTCTGGGCAGTCGGAGGTTGGTGGTGCCGCTGTCCACGATGCTCTTATCATAGTTGTACTGAAAAAGACAGTTTCTAATTACAAATCTCTTCAGTAGATGTTAGTGTCAGTGACCGGCCAGTAAATCTGTATTCTTGTGCAGCCGCGTATCCGATCTCTCACCTCTTTACAGTCCATGTTGAGGTCCATTCCATTCACCTCGATGCGTACGATGATGACCTCATAGTACCACTCCCTGCGAATGGGAGTGTACCAGAGCTCTCCCACGTAGAGCGACGGGTCCACTCCTCCGATGATCTAAGAGCAGTGGGCAAAATAAAATCCAGCGCCGGCTCCAAATGTGACACGAGATGATTTGTATGTGTGTGTGTGTGTGTGTCTCCTCACCATGCTGCCGCCAACAGTGGCGCTGCCCAGGGAGTAGTTTTGGGTGAAGCCGGCTCCACACAATTGGAGAGAGAAGAGGTTGGGGACAGGAGTCTGGCGAACCAGAGAGTCAAAGAAAGGCTCCAATGCCTCGTCAGGCTGGAGAGAGAGAGGGGGGGGGGGGTAGTTTTTCGTCTGAATGGCCAAACTAAGCTGCTGTTTTTAGCTTTCAGATTTTAATTTCCAAAAGATTAAACAAAGCTCATCCGTCCCAGTGAATGCAGTGGTATAATCCCTTTCCCCAGATGTAAGTCCTCTAGTATCTAGTGCCTCTCTTTTTTTAAATACTATAGTAGAAATTCAGTAGTAGAGGATGTTTGAATTTTTTTAAACTGTATGCTACATCCTTCCCCAGATCTAATGGCATAGTTCACCGGATTATGAATTCAGAAAGCTAAGAAAAGTGACACAAGGGAGTGTTTTTTTTTTACAGTATAGTATCTTTTTACAAGCCTGGCTCTCAGAAAAATACACTGAAACACAGTATTTGGCTTTACTGATCGCACACTGGAGAAGTAATAAAAAGCAGGGAATAAATGAAAGAAGATCTGCCATAGAAAAGTAACACTCTGCTTGATATTGCTCTAAAATGTGACATATAGCTCTCTTCCTCCCAACTGAGGTTCCAATGTGCAAACAAATGTGTCCTGTGCAGCTTGAAAAAGATCATCCGTTGGGAGATTATTTCTGCTCTTACCCGGGCTATGTCAGCGTAGGCCAGTCCCAGGATTCCCTCCCAGTTGGATCCGTTGATGAAGAAGCGATCCGACTGGGTGATTGCGGCGATGTTGGCGCGCAGCGTGGCGTTGGGGCCGTGTGGGACGGACACCAGGTCGGTGCCCAGCTCCCCCTCCCAGCGACCCTGAGTGTAGGGGACATACACACTCCTGCCCTGGTCGCGGTACGAGCCGGAGCTGGGTAGCACGGCGGAGAGGGAGGAGAAAGGTGGAGGAATTGAGATTATTAACAAATATATTATTACAATGTTTCTGTGTGATTGTGTGTAAAAGCATTGTCTCATAACGTACATTTACGACAAGGAACTTTCATTTTGTGTTGATTTTGGCGGTCCCTGTGGACGAACGTGGTAATGTTTCAACTTTAAATTTAGTACGACCTATAGCAATACGATGTAGAATATGAGACTATGATTTGATGTTATGATGTCAGTTTTAACAATTCATTCATCACATAAGAAATAAAAAAGTCGTCTCTCTACTTACAGAGAACGATGGTAGTATCTGCGCAGGAAGGGATGAGCAGCTGCTCCAACAGCAAAGTTACTGCTTCCTGTATCCACCAGGATGTTCAGCTGAGGAGAGGAAGAGGGAGAGAGAGGAAGAGAGAGAGGAAGAGGGAGAGAGAGGGAGAGAGAGAGCGAGGGGAAGAGAGAGAGCGAGAGAGGGAGAGAGATTTATTAAATATTCTGAATGCTTTGTGCATTTTGCAAAATAATCGATAGATTTGTAAAAGTGACAGTTGGGTTTCATTGTGAAATTGATTGTGTTGAATCTGTGAAGGGTTAGTTTAATCATTGCTTCCTTTGAAACATTGTGAAGACTTCTTTATGTCTTTATCTTTGTACACTGGAGGCAAGTCATTGGCTGATTGTCTGTATTACAGCAAGAAGTCAGCCTCACCTCTCAGTCATTCTGTGTCAATTCCTCTCTCCTTGTCGTGTCCTGTGCTGTTTCCTTTTGCCCTAGATGTCCTTCCCTCCCCCCTCTGTCTCCCCTCTTACCCTCCTCTCCTCTCAGGTTGCCCTTTCTACTCCCTCTCCCTCCCATCTCCTCTTCTTCTGTCTGCATCTCTGTGTGAGTATCATATTCTGCACAATCAGTCAAAGCAGATCGTGGATGTGTGAATGGAGCACAAATATACACCTACAGTATAAGCATAATATTATACATTATATATATTTTACACTTCTATAAAGTACTGTACGCCATATATCACAGGCATGTTGTGTGAGTCAAACTCTTTAAAATGCTACCGCATCACTTTTAAATTAAGTTCAATCACAACCTTTTCATTCATATGGTTCAGGTTGATGTTTTTCAAGTATTTACTGGTTATTATACTATGAATTTAAAGTGAATATGTGTTCCAGGAAACACGCAAACAGCCACAGCCAGCTGTTCAATAATGGATCGGCACTTTAAATAAACAGAGAAGAGCTTCTGTCTTGAGGGCTGCGCCCGAAAGCCCAGAATGAGATACTCTTGTCTACCTCACTGTTTCTTCTGACACACACACACACACACACACACACACACACACACACACACACACACACACACACACACACACACACACGTCTGTACAAACACCACAGTGTAATAACACGGCGGTTTGCTGACTGCTCAGGATGAATGTGTTTTCTAACGGCTGCATCCTGACACACTGAGACACTTTCATGTCTCTCCGTCTTCCTGTCGTCCCTGGCAGCGTGCTTCTGTCTGTTCAGGCCATTATATCCCCCCCCCCCCCCCCTCTCCACTACGAGCATCATCTCGCGGCAACATATCTTAAGGCTTATGGATATGGATATGGACACACTGACTGGTGCTTTTAATGAATGAGGTGGTCACTGACCCCAGACCAGCACTGTCCTAAGCTAATATCTAATTATATCTCGACCTAGAGAGCTTCAATCACCTAAACAGTGAAGCATGACGCCCCTTCTCTCACTCTCATTTATACTTCCTTCCTCCTCTTCATCTCTCTCATTCATGCATTTCTTTTTCATTCACCTTCTCCCTCTCCTCCTTCCTTCCTCCTACCACCTCACCATCACTCTCCCTCCCTCCCTCCACCCGTCACCCTCGCTGTGCCAGCCTGTACACCGCAGCTGCACCCAGCTGGCACTCCTCACTCTGCAAAACTAATGGTTCCATTATCTGTCTGTACCACTGAGGCCTTTCTCTCACTCCACACACACACACACACACACACACACACACACAGTCCCATCTGTCATTGCAAGGCCATCGACAGCATTGGACAGAATATTTAAAGTACCGTCAACTTACTTTCATTTTGCATTCTATATTAATTGTAGAAATCTTGCATTAGAAATATTAAAGTATGATGATGTATGTATGTATATGTATATATATATATATTATATATATATATATTATATATATAAGTAAAGGACATGTGCTGTCATGTTGTGGTATATGTGTAGAGTGATATCACATTGCATTGAGATGCATAGTATCTTCTCTAGTAATGTAGGCTTAGAATAATAGAATTAGAATAATAATTATGCTTTGAAATTAGTTAAATATATATGTATTATTGATATTATGGTGGTATAACTTGTCTAATCGCCAAAAGAGAGTGACACAGACACACATAGACATGCAAGATTGAGGTAAAACCAAGATAAATGTAACGTTGTTTGTCTTTAAAGATAAAAGCCTTTCACGTTGATACTTTTTATTAATATAAATCAACAAACAGCACTGGATTTAATGGATATTTTGAAGTGATACCACAGAGAGTAAAGTGTAGCTGCTCGTGCAACATTTCTGTCAATTAAGCAGATTAAATACACGAGACAGGGACATATTGTGTGCATAGGATAATAATATTGCTAAAGAGCCATAAAGAAAGCTTTGTTTAGTTTTCTTAGTGCTTTGATATCACTGTAAATGAAGCTTGTACCTTCTGTGGAGGAGAGCCCACGGCCATCTCCACGTAGTACCCCTGACCGGACTTCCCACGCAGGTTATCGATCATGTCCACGAAGCTGATGCCGCCCGCTGCCGCTGCTGCCGCTCCTCTCCGCCTTCGCGAAGCGCGCTTCCCCGCGTCGCCGCGCTCGCGGTTAACGGCAACGGCAGGTGGCAGCGGCGTTGGCTGTGCGGCGTGAGCGCCTTGCCGCAGTGGCACGCGGATGGCTAGAGGCAGGCCCGAGACGTCCGGCGCGGACTGACCGTTGGTGAGCAGACACAACGTCGTCCATACTAACAGACCTGTCAACTGCAAAGTCGACGCCTCCATGCTGAATCGAGAGGTTTTCGGTAACTATGTTTGGTTTTTTTGACTTCACGACGCTCCGTTCAGTTTGACACCCAGGACACAGGAGACGAGATCAGGCAGCGATGATGCTAAAATAACGGCTAAAGCCATGCTGGCAGTGGCACCGCAAATATCAGGAGGTCACTGTGTGTTTTTTCCGCAAGCCGCGCGTCGTTTTCCTCCGCACGTCCTCACGTCAAACGACCGAAGCCATCGTCGGAAGGGCAGGCTGATGGCCACCGTAATCCGCATCCTTCATTCAGTTCTCCGCCTTCCAGTCTTTCACCTCCTCCCTCCTTCTCCTCCATCCACCCCGCTGCATCCTTCAGAAGCTGCAGGGAGCAGCGAAGCATCGCTACCATCAAGTGCGAATGCAAAACCGCACGACTTCCTGTAAGCATTTTCAAAATAAGATAGTACTGAGAGGGTTAATAACTGCTCAAACTAAAATAATCTTTTATTAATCCCGCAGTGGGGACATTTACAGGATTACAGCAGCATAGTGGATAGTGCGAAACAAGTATTATAAATAAGTAAATAAGTATTAAAACAGTGAAGAATATTAAATAATAACTAAATATTATATATACAGACATAATAATTTTAGTATTGCACAGTGTATTTATATTGCACAGATTTCTGAAACTAATTTAGTTTGTAATACTTTTCTTTTATCATGGTTATTATTAGTAATTTTATTTTTATTGTTTTTTAATATTACTTTGTTTTTAGACTTTTTTATTATTATTTTTAATAATTACTAAAAACATTTGGCTTCTTGTTGAACAGGATTTTGGCTCGTTTATGCACAAAACGAACACATTGTTCGTTTTTTTATAACGTCTTTTATTTTGAAGGCAAAATTGCGACTCCTGTCTCTTCTTCAGGAAATAACCCCGGTACACCCCGCATTCTGGGTAATGGAGTTTTCACCGTGATCGCTCTGCGGATCACAGGCGTTTCTGTTCCCATGTGACATGTGCATTTTTTGGGCCATTGCTACCTGCTCCACATCAGTTGTATTTTCCAAACCGTTTTTCTTGTTTAAATCTAGGAAAGATCTTCAATCAAGATTTTCAAAATGGCATTTTATTATCTCAGATGACAGACAAGATGCATTGTTATATAGCCTACAATATAATTTTAAAGAACACTTGTATAATGCATGGTATCCCTATAAATGTATGTTGTGAGGGAGACCACACATTATATACATTTATTATCAAACACACAATAAAGTTGGATGGGAGCAGTAGTTCAAATATGATCCAAAGTTCAGTTAGTCTGCTTCTTTTCCCCCTATGACAGACTGCCTCTCTCCTCAGACGATCCTGGACAGTCCCAGTAGGAAGGAACAGGGAGGAAGGAAGCCCGTGGCAGTACGCCGTCCACGTCTTTCCTCTCCATGGTGAGTCCCACGGAGTCTTTCCTCTGGTGAAACAGTCCACACTGTCCCACCAGCACCAGAGCCGGCTCCTCCTGTCCTGAGGAGGCAAGAGAATGCAGTTACTGATCGGACCAAAAGTTTTAACATCCTCTTTTCTTCAACCCCGTCTCTTCTTGGAAGCATCCAATCAGATCCAACAGATGCTGTAAATTCCGCAGCAGAAGATTAAAGTAGCAGCAAATTCAAATTTCAAAGGACTTTGAACAATCCCTGTGTTGAAGTTGTGGTGTAATGTGTTATTTTAACATAACGTACAGAGAGATACTCACTGGTGGAAGTCTTTGAGCTCCAGCTTCTCTGATCTCCAGGTTTGGTGGAGAGCAGCTCAGCTCTGCCCTCTGGTGGACAACACACGGCCATGGGTCCAGAATAACCCTCCCTACACACACACACACACACACACACACACACACACACACACAGATACTGTCCCTCACAGTTTCACCCTATGGCCAACAACCTACCTCCTTTCAAAACAAAGGTCAAAGATTAGCTATCATGGAGACTGCTGCCTTATCGCAATGTACCAGCTGATAACAGCGATAATGATGCACTGTGATCTAGTCGAGGGGCTAGAGAAACTGTTTCACATGCGTTTGTTAATCAGGCAAACATTCAGACATGAGTGAATGACACTCACGGGTCCTGGGGGTCTGTCGTCCTGAAGCCTTTAGCAAATGGGTTGCTAGCAATTTTTAACTGGGTGATCTGGGAGATGGGTTGAAATAAATTAGATGAAAATCAAAGAAATGACTCCCTAATCCTTTACCAGTTATACCAGTTAGTGCACAGTAATAAAAAGCCTACACTGAAGTCTATACGGATCCACCTACCCGGTGGTTCTGATAGGCAGTGACGGCCATGAAGCGTGTCTCGGGGAAGGAAAAGGAGCAGAAGTTCCTGTGTGCGTTCAAGTGGCTGTTGGGAGCCGGATCCACGTACACCACATGGAAGCGCGGCTGATAGCGATGCATGGAGTTCAATATCATCTGGAGAACAGGAAGTCAGAGAACACGCAACAACAAGCGAGTCAAAAGAGAGACATTTCTACATGTACATCAAAGAGTGAAGGGGGTCACATTAAAGACTGACATGTCCGTTGTCATCCAGCAGGTTGTTGGTGAGCTTTAGGGTGTCGAAGGAGACGGTCTGCTTCATCCACTGGGCTCCACAGGCAGGTGAGTCTGGGTGGAAATGCATCCGGCTCGGTGCTACGACATCCGCTCGCCCTGTCACCAACCAGGATGAGCTGTGGAACGCATATCTGATACACACACACACACACACAATAGGTCAAATAGGACTGCTGAGGTAAGATGAAACTGGCAGAGGGGCAACGAGCACAGCTCTAGGTTTCAGGTGGACACTGATGGTCTTGAATAAAGAGATGGAAACACTCGAGCAGATCATAAATACACTTTATGATCTATTTAAAATCTCTGTTAGACACTAAGCACTACACACCTCACTCCGTATGTCTGACCTGTATCTTTTATCGTCCACAATGAGAAAGTCCATGAGCAGGACGTATTCAGCGGTGGGATCCATCCCGGAGATTTGCACCTGGAATGTTGGAAACATCCTCCTGCAGTTCATGAACATGTAGATGAACACACGATGTAGTAAGACACACAGAAGAGGGAAAGAAAGAGGGAAAGGTAATGAGTGCCATCGTTACCTTCCGGCTTTGGTAACGATCATCTCCGTGCCCAGCTGGTCGAACTGCTGCCAGAGTGCATGCATCTCCAGCTGAACTCTGACCCCGCTGACTTGGGGGGCCTTGGCGCTCGACAGTGACCCGCCGTCTGCACAGCAGGGCAGAGATAGTTCACAGCTCCGAGGCAGATGAGGACCTGAAGGAGAGGGGAGGTGTGCGGCGGACGCTTGTTCACATTGGATTGGATCACGGGCTTTTGTCTATATTTTCTCCAATGATCTCAGATCATTTTGATCATAAAACAAACACTTACCATCCATCATTTGAAGGTTTACAAGATAAATAATATGAATGACTTTTTCCCGTTTTGTCCCTTCCTTTGATATTTCTCTTCACTGCAGTCTGTTCTTTCACTTCTGACTAAGCAACTCCTGTCATTACATCGCGATCAGTAGAGAACCATCAATAAACAAATAAAGCCAAAACTCTTCCTCCCCGTCCAGTGCCAGGTGCTGTGGTAGACGTGCATCCGAGTGTGAGGAGTGGCTGTTTGTGTCCAGGAACATGCTGGTTTTTATAAACCACGAGACTCTCACTGGGGACCTCATGCCTGCCTCATCCATTACAATACATCACAGCTGCACGCGCATGCATCCATGTGGCCCCAAGATTTGTGAACACAAAAACGTGCACACACACACACACACAGACACACACAAAACCTTTTTGGAGCATCTAGAAATCCCTGCTTGCACCTCCCATTGTTTCATTTAGCCTAAAGCCCTAAGTGGAGCTTGTCTTGACCGACCAGTAGGGCATTAATAACATCCTAGTCAGCCCAGTGTTACTGAGTGTGGACAGATGAGGACAGCAACAAACTGCTGTTTATTATTCATAGCATACTTTCTTGGAGCAGAGTTTCAACACCATACTAATTAGAGAGTCAGTTATTCCCTAAAACGGACGTGGACCCTCCTGTTTTAGATGAATTGTGACATTCTAGCACACTTATTAAAAACTCATAACATATCAGACAGCGCCAGTGATGAAGTTCTGGACATCTCTGGATTGTTGTCCTTGCTGTTAAATGTTGTTGGGTTTTTGAAAGGTGTCTTTGCCTCCAGTGTCACTTAAAGACCTGAATGTTGTTTCTAACTCTCAAAGTAACACACAATGATTTGATATATGATCTCGATGAATCAAAGTTGAGTACAAATGCGAGTTGCAAGTGTTTAGTGGTGTGGCTGTGGTGTGTGTGTGTGTATGTGTGTGTGTGTGTGTGTGTACGTGTGTGTGTGCGTGTGTGTGTGTGTGTAACCTCATGTGGCTCTATGATGGGACAGTGTTGAAGGGTTCCAGCCTGAGGGATCCAAAGCAGTGAATTGGGCTTTCCCTCTAATAAAGCACAACACGACTTAATATGGTCAAAAGGCCAATTCGCATTCCCGCGATCAGCTCATTAATCACAGCTTTCAGGACCACAGGCGGACATATCTCATATGTCGTTGGATGTCTCTCTTATTGATATTGTTATTTTTCCTCGTGATCAATGATGACCCCTCCGAATGCTTTCTGTGTGATACGACCTCACCGGGGTTAAAAACTCTCCAATAAAGCCAAAGGTTGTGCTGTTAAATTCCTGAGAGGGTCATTTTTGTTATTAGACTGCATTCTATATTTTCATAGTTTCGATAAAGTTATCTTTATTCTCATATTGACTTTAGATGTCTAATATTCCGCTTCATTACAGTCAGATCTTTTAGGGAAAGGATGAAGTGAGAGTCAGAGAGCGAGGTGTTTAGTATAAACAAGTCATTTGTTTATTGAGCTGTATTTCGTCAAAGCACAGTTTTCATCAGACAAGCATCATTACACAGAGTTTCAGGCACTTGTGGTAATTCACATACAGTTCCTACACAAAACGTAAGCAGTTGGCCTTGTCGTGCGAAGAGTAAAGCATGTGCGTGCTGAGTTCCTATGTGTCTGCTGCTTGCATGTGCTTGAGCATGTGCGCAAAAGGCAAGGTGTTTTCATCGGAGAGAGACAGAGCAAGAGTCCCGCCATCTTGTTGCAAACAAGTGCAACAAGTTAGTCACCGGCTTCATTTTGGGAGGTGGTCTGGCTGCGCATTGTGAGGAAAGAATGGAATGGAGAGAATGGTGGAATGGGTCTGGGACTGATAGGTAGGTGAGGTTAGTTACAGGAACAGGGAGGGATTTAGTTCTTCTGGATAGAAGCTGCGATGTGCTGGAAGATGGTGTTGAGCTTAACCTTGATGTCCTCGGCCAAAGGTGCAATCTGCTCCTTCAGGGTAGTGAGGTCCTCAGCCTTGACGTTCTGAACCTGGTCGTAGGCCTGCTTCATCTGGTCCTTGTATTCCTCGACGTACGGGCCAACCATCATCTTCACCTGCTCCAGACGCTCAGAGAGCTTGGCACGCACAGACTCCACGATGGGAATCAGGGCGGCCTTGGTCTCCTCCACGTTGGCTGCGATCTTGTTGCGCAGGTCCTCCACAATGGGCTCCATCTTTCCCTTCAGGACTTCCATATCTGCCGCGTGCTTGGCAGAATACTCTGTGATGATGGGCTCAAGGGTAATGCGGTACTGCTCGATGTGCCTGTTGACAACCTCCCTCAGCGCAGCACGCTTGGGCTCGAGATCGATCTTCAGGGTGTCAATATCAGCGATGACAGCGGCGCGGAACTCGGTGGTGGCGTCGGCGATGGTGCTGACGACACTGTCGGTGATGGGGACAGCAGCAGCCTGCATAGTCTTGATCTGGGTGTACATGTCTTCGATGCGGGTAGACAGGCGGGCCCTGGGAGGAAACAGAGAAATTTAAAAAAAAAAAAAAAAAGTGACTAAGGGAGAAAGGTGTAGCAGTGACGGAGCAAGCATCAATTACAGACGAGACTGACTGAGGAGAATGACGTGGCCTTACTTGAGCTCCTTGTGCTCGGTGTCATCGAGCTGATTCAGGGCCCTGGTAGCACTCTCCTTCACCTGATCCAGGTACGTGTTCATAACACTCCTGGCATGGGCCAGCTGGTTTGGTGCATCATTCTGCAGGGTAGCGGCCTGAGAGCCTGAGGAGGGACGGAAAGGTGGGAATGAGAGACGAGCAGTCAGAGAGGTGGTATTTTTAAACGTGAAATAGATAAATATATTGATATTCTGGCTAAGTAAAGCTGTACATGCAGGTTATGTAAGAAACAGCGCGTTCAGTACTCACCAACAGCCAGCAGGAGGGCGAGAGTGAGAGCGACAAATTTCATGATGGTGGTCTAGAGTGGAGAAAGAGGCAAAACATGTCACGCTCACAGTATTACAGTCAAAGGAGTTTCAATAAAACATTGTTTAAATCGCACTAAGAAAAACGAAAAGCCCATTAATCCAGTGAGTCACTAGGCCAGATGAGCGGGCTTAGAAGTACACACAAGGTAAACTCACCGTTAAAGCTACACACTCATCCCTGAATTGGTCCACATGAGTTCACACTAAACATATGGCTGCTAATTAAAATATCCTGTAATCTGGGTAGATTAGAGATGACTACAAATTCGGAGAGACAGCTCAAGCTGATTAGCTCTGGACTGCTATGTAATGCTCATCCTGGCTTAACAGTAAAACACAGTCACAGAATTACCAAGTTATCTCTCTGAGCTCAGAGACAATCTTGATACAGAGACTCTTAAATTTAGGGATCTCTCTGTTTTCTTGAAATGGAGGCAACTGCTAAAATATCGCTACGGGCTAAACAGCATGATCCCAAAGTTAAATGAAAACATCTCACAGTTTAAATTTAACACAAAGTTAAAATGTATCTTCCTGACAGAGGAACTTATATTTGGCACCAGTTCACGACTTCATCAAAGTTTACAGATTGCAGAAAGCTTTAAAAAAAAAGAAAAGTTCTCCAGCATTAATTCTGGTCTGACTACCCACTCTACCACCCAAAGTCCCAGTAAGAGCCACGGCTGTTGCTTGTCTTACCTGGTGGAGTTCGTGATGAGACTGAACAACTTCAGCATGTGCAGACTTTTTATAGTGCCCGAGTGAGGGATGAGTCCATGCGGGGAGGAGGGGGCGGGGGTGGAGGTGTGAGGGTTGTGTGTCTCCGTGGAGGTGGACCTCACCCCCCTGTCAGCTCGCTCAGCAGGGGGACTGGGTTGAGAGTTCAATGGTCACCTGCTGGGAGGAGATCACTCAGCACACACAGAATCACAGATTTGCTTTACATTATCAGTGTCATAAATGCACTGTTAACTTCAACCAAAAGCAGCCAGCATTTCTTAGCAAGAGCCTTACAATCCTCTTAATTCTCCACACTCTTTTGGGGCCACAGGATATTTTATTTGTGATACTTCTGGGACAGCTTTTAAGCATTTCTCCCCCCCCTGCTTGATAAAAGGCCTTTCATTTTGTCCTGTAGCCAAGCTGCTGTTTGTTGTGTAGAGGACATGAAAGGCTGACAAAAAACAACTCGGTGAGAAGACGGAGACGTGAAGACGGTTAAATTAGGAAAGGAGTGTGAATATACCAAAAATGGGAGGTGGTGAAAAGACACAAAGTAGGGCAAGGGAGAGCTGCGAGGGGAGAAAACTGATGGAAAGAATTGGAATAAAATGGACAAGTAAATAGGCTACATGGAAAAAGGGTTCACATTCCCCCACATAGCTCAAGTACCTTTACTTGGCTATAGGTTTCATACAGGGGTCTGTACTGGATCGTGTTTTACCGCATTTTAGCAGCATACAACAGCTCAGGTTGACCCTCACTCCCATTGTTGTTTTTTTCCATACCATTTGTTACAGAACAGGAAAGTCACACTATTGACAGTCGCAGTGCTGCAAAAAGGCTGCCAAGAGAATCAAACAAGAGCAAACAGAAGAAAGTCACTCGTTGCTATCAACTCTCTGAAATGTGATCGCGTTCAATCTGCACTCAGACCCACGCATTACCACGTAAGAAGGCAGCAAACAAACGAGAACAGTGTATCAAGACAGACGTATCTCAGTTTACGGATAACAAAGTTTGTGCTGCTGGTGTGTGTGTGTGTGTGTGTGTGATGATTAATAGGTCAAAGAGTGGTGTGTGTGCCATGCTGTTGTTTGTTGTCCTATCACCAGTGGACTTTGTCACCGTGGCTTTGTGTAATTTGAGGAACAGGAATGATCATAGTATTGAAAGTCATCTCTAATTTTATCATCATGGGTGGTATAATGTCTTCTGTCACACAACCATTACCCTCAAAAGGTTCATGCCTATTCTTTTGAGATTTCCAACAGATGATATAACATTATTTGCCTTTATTGGAACAAAAAAGAGATACAAAGTGAGTTCAATAACTTGTGTTTTTTTTACTTAAAACAGAGACGGTTGCGTCACGTATACACTTCCAGGCACAATTGTGTATTAATGTGCTGTTAAAATGATTCTGGCCAAGCATCGTGAAGGCTAGTCTAATAGTGCAGGGTTATTAGGTGCAAGGTTAATCATTGAAATCAGTGGTCAGTGGCAATCAGCTGTAACCAAGAGAAGCATGCGTTTGTAATGCTTGATATACAGTGCAGAGGTTACAGGAGCCTATATAATCAATGCACTTTTATCTGAATGCATGTCGTTCTTAAAATCCTGTTCTTGCGTTAAACTATTGAAGCATGTCCAGCTCATCTCTTACCCAACATGAAGCTGCAAGATACAACAGCAAGAATTCAAATCATAGACATTAAATATTTGACTTTCAGGACAATTGACACTAAAAGGATAAAGACTTAAGTCTCAGTTTTCCATTTCAAAAAACAAGTTCACCAAAGGGAATTCAAAGCAATATAAGAGAAATATCCAGGAGCTCCAGTCAGTGGGCCGCCATCACTGACTTCAACTACAGAATTGTGTGGAAATTATTTCGGAGGAAAAATGATCGCTACAAACCAATAATGCTTTTGATCTGGAAATATCAGAATGCACAGAACACAGTGTCAAATAGTCATCAATAGTACATGCTTATTATCATACAGCATGCTGGACGAATGCTATTGTAGACTTTTCGTTCAGGATGAATATGTACCTCAGATTATCAGAAAGTACACATAGGTGGTGGATTAAAATGGTCTACATTTGGTCGTATAGGGACGCTTCTTGTGCCACGGGTTCAACAAAAGCATGAACATTCATTTACTGCATTTATTGCAGGTCTGTTTGGTTGGGTTTCATTGCATTTGTTTCGGAACGTGTATTTTTCAGGAGTCTCAACCACAAGAGAATAGTGAGGGATTCCTGACGTACAATACAAATGGAAATGAGTAACAAGAAATGAAACAAAGACATTTAAGTTTTAGGAAAGACAAAAAACAAAACAAAAATCATCAACCGATACAACCACATTATGGTGTGTATTGTTTCATATCATCATATGAAACCCATTTTTAAACATGTGAAAGTATGTTAAGGGTCGTATGTTATGTTGAAGGCAATGTATTCCAGTTTGAAGGAGCTTTACACATGAATGATGATGATTAATGTACTGCATTTGTTGCAGAGTTGATTTTATTGCATTTGTGTAGGTTTTTTGAGTGTAAACCACGAAACAGACGTCCAGGTTCCCTTTTTTATGGTTTCACCGTGTGTCTCCAGCAATTCCTCAATGTCTCTTTAAAAAACAAATCCCATTTCATCCTTATTTATCTTTCCCTACTTCCATTTCCCTTTGTTATTTATCATTTGACACCGTGGCGTTTATCTCGACCCTCACCCCCTCATTCACTTTACACTTTTATGGACAACTTGACGTGGCCATGAAGACAGAGGGGCGATAAGGCTGTCGAATACACAGGCCACATCAACGCATGCTAGATTCAGACTGACGTCAGCTCTGCCCATTTGTCTGACATCAATTGCGAATGCAAAGGCAGCAGACAATTTGGAAATGCAACAATGGAAGCTTTGAAGTATGCCTGAATTTCTTCTTGCCGAAGACTGCTGTATTTAGCTAAGCAACCTAGAACAGACAAGCAAGGACATCCATGGTTTTGAACCATCGCTCTGGGGAATAGTGAGGGGCATATTTCACTATTTTCTGACATTTTCAAACTAAATAGGCAGTTGAAAAAAAAGCGATTGACAATGAAAATAATCATCCACAACAAGGACAGTGAAAAAGGCTGAAGAGATCCTGCTGACCAGGACTGAAACAGAGGAATTACTCTTATCTGGAACAGCAACCTTTGAGACTGCTTGCATTGCACCACGATTCAACATCCACGCGGAGTAATCTATTGAGATTACCGCTGTCGTAATTGTTATCAATATAAACTCAGAACGCCTAGCTGGCAAGATCATTGCTAAGGTTGCATGTTTCCTGATACGTCAAGCAACAAGAACATTGAATAGGGGGCAAAAGTGAGCAAAAAGAAGAAGTTTATCATGGGTGATCTAAAAGATAAGGGATTCACTGACAAATATCTGGGACGTAATCACAAAGGATCTTCATGGCAACTGTGGTGCAAAAGAATTCTATACCTGCTTTGCGTGAGTCTTTGAATGCTGAAAACCAGAGGTTGTCTTTTCCAAATGTATTCTCTGCGCAGAAGGTTCAATCATTTCTTTTTTTTCTGCCAGCAACCAAAACAAGATGGCGCTGGAACATTCTCATACAACACAGTTAGTTATCTTTGAAGCAGGCAATGCTGAATTCTTCTTTTATAACAATAAGAAAGACACAGTGAAGTTCAACTGAGTTCAGAGCAGAAGTACTTATGCATGAATACAATACACCGAGTAGAAATATATACTAAGTGAGTTGAAATATGTACTACGTAGAATTTTGCTATTACGCAACCGTTACATGAAGCCGACTGATTTCTAGCCCGACACTCGTGTTTGGATAAATTGATGCTCTACTAAGAAAAAGGATCTTCTTTGTCGATGATCAACGACCAGTTTTAAGGTGACCGTCAACAGATGTGCGGTAATGGCCCGGAGCTGATAAATATTTAATCAGAAAATCCACCCCTTTTGATCAGGCCCTAGCTGAGGTTCAGAGGTCACGTCATTGTTCCAGCTGCCTCCATGATGGAGCACTGTTCTCAGACCAGCAGGGGAGGTTATCTCAGCTGTAAGCAACAGTTTGGAGCTCTGTCTCTCGCTCTCGTTTCTCTCCAACACACACACACGCCGCTTCAGCTTGCTATACCCAAGTCTGCCTAACAGTTGTGAAGTGGTTTTGCAATGTCACATCTGTTGAGGTCGCTTCTGCTTTAACACAGATATTTGGATCGGCACCCTGGTCGCAGAGAGTCACTGTAGGTTGCATCGCCCTGCGGGTTGTACAGCTTTGACAAG